AGTGTGGCTTTGGTGGGAGTGTGGCTTTGGTGGGAGCGTGGCTTTGGCGGGAGCGTGGCTTTGGTGGGAGCGTGGCTTTGGCGGGAGCGTGGCTTTGGCGGGAGCGTGGCTTTGGCGGGAGCGTGGCTTTGGCGGGAGCGTGGCTTTGGCGGGAGCGTGGCTTTGGTGGGAGCGTGGCTTTGGCGGGAGCGTGGCTTTGGCGGGAGTGTGGCTTTGGTGGGAGCGTGGCTTTGGCGGGAGTGTGGCTTTGGTGGGAGTGTGGCTTTGGTGGGAGCGCGGCTTTGGTGGGAGCGCGGCTTTGGTGGAAAGGGTGCTGGGAGAATTGGAGGTGAAGATGGGAGTGTGCCGAGGGAGAATGAGCCTGACCGTGGTCACCGTGGTCACCAAGAGGGAAGGGAACCTGGAGCTCACCTTGTCCAGCCCTTCAGCTCCTGCTTTACAGATGGGTAACTAGGATCCTCAGGAGAGCCGGCCTCTGATGTGATCCTGGAGGAGTTTAAGGGTGCAAATTCAGGCCTCCAGGACCAATCCCAGGGCTCAGAAAGGGGTCCCTAGGCCCTTTGAAAGCCATGCAAATATCATGAAATGAATGTCCAGGTTCCTCCTCTGCCAACCAGGATTCCCCATTATCCCTGCTCACTGGGCTCAGAACGCTGCTGGGAACTTTGCTTCTGTCCCTGTCACTGATTTACTTGGGAGGTCACTGAGAGTCCTGATCCGTGTAAGGGAAGTAAAAACACTAGATGCTTCCTGCGTTTGCTGTGATGATTAAACAAGCTATACATCGAAGAAGTTAGCTTGGGGCATGGCACCAGCAAGCTGTTAGTAAAGCTAGTCTGTAGTCATCCCCATCACCATCATCACCATCTGTTCCAGACCACCCATTTAGTGGATATTGAAACTGAGGCCTGGGGTGGTTGTATTCTGGGAAGAGAAAGGAAGGGGAAGGGGGTGGCAGGGGGTGGACCCCTGCTGAAAAGAGAGCTGGTAGGAGCTATATTTGAGCTTCTAGAAGGAATGACTAAGGAGGTTGATAACAGGCTCCGGGGCTCAGGGCGGCAGGCCGGGGGCAGCTGCCAGGGAGAACCGCCCCCCTGGAGACGGCTGTCTTTAGAGGCCCCTCCCGGCTCCGTGCTTTGTCTCACTCTGAGGAATGTGCCAGGCAGAGGTTCAGCTCAACCTGCCACTTTCTGGAAACTTCTCACACTCCCCTTCAGACTGTTGAGGTCAGGGATAGGAAGGGAGAGTCCTGGAGGGGGAGAGTACTCCAGCCCCTCTCCCCATCACCCCGTGAGCCTGCTCAGAAGGTCCCCCCTGTGACAAAGGGAGACGCTGAAGCTCAGGAGAGTACAGGGTGGACAGTGCTCCTCGGGAGGAGGAGAGGGGTAATTCTCCCCTACAGAAGAGGTCACATGACTGTTGCAGCCTTGCTTGGTGGAGGAGTCTGAAGTGACAAGTACAAGAGAAAAGCCTGGGAGCCAGTGGACGGCTGGGGTGTGGGAGAGCCACCTGAGAGAGGATTCAAAATTTGGTTCTGTGCCCTCCTGGCCTTAGAGCTCAGATTAAACACATGAGCCGGCAAAGGAGAGAAGCCTTTTCCTTTTTCCTCCTCCTCTCCCTCACTCCTGACTCTGCCCTTCACCTTCCTCCCTGCATCCCAGATCAGACCCACGGTCAATGAAGTCACACAGTGGCACTATGTGGGAGATGTCTCGAAAGGTCCGGAGGTAAGCACTAGGGAGGATAGAGGATCACTCCTCCTCTGGGGTCCTCATTGGTAACAAGTGGCATGCTATAGATCTGGCTCCTCATTCTCATTTTGTGGGACAGACGGATGTTATCCTCGTTCAAAGGCTGTTACTCCACCCAGGAAATGGACTGGAGGAGGAGTGACTTTCCCAAGGTCACACAGCTGGGACTGAGCTCAGACATCCCTCCTCTCTCTCCTCTGTTCCCCCTCCTCCCAGGCAGCCAGGCACCCGATGTCAGCTGCTCTGAAGTGAGTGGCTATTTTTATTCTGGTGCGAGGGACCTGCAACAGCAGAGCCATGTAGGTTAGAAGACTCTAGGACACCGGCCTCAGCAGGCAAGGAAGTACTTATTGCAGTGACAGGACCCTGCTAAGCTTGCCTGGGGGAACTCTTGTTCCTTGCAGACTGCCCTGTCCTGGGCTCCCGGGTCTCCAAAAAACGTTTTCGTTGGAGGTCAGAGTAAAGCATAGAACCAGAATAAGTTCGTGGCCCTCATCCCATACCCATCGTGAACTCTAACCTTGACATTGACTGAGACTTGATCCCATGCCAAGTCTGACCCTCTACTCCAGCTCTCAAAAGAGCTCTGGCCATCACTTTAGAATTATTCTTTGGCAGGTCACACACTGACCTGATCTAACCTGATAAAAGGCTGATCCCATCTTAAGACCTTCATTCTGGACCCAGACTCAGCCCTGATCCTAAACTAAGCTTTGAACCCCACTCACAGAGTGATTGCTAACCTCAGCTTGGATTAGCTCTCATTTGAGACAAAGTTCTGGCTCTGATATAAGATGAAATACTGGTTTTGGTCCCAGAACCCTGAGCTTAATCATTGACTGGCCCTTGATCTCATAATGAATTCTCACCATGTGTCATGCAAATTCTGTTTATTTTGGTCATAAATGGAGCCCTGAACCTGGTCAAAGTCCAAGTTCTGAGCTTTGTTGTTGACTGAACCATAACCCTGTCATATACTGAGCCTTATTCCTGGCTAAAAACTGAATCCTGACTCCATCCCAGGTTTAGTTCTAAACTTACTGTGCTTTTGTTATTGCTGTTGCTATTGGTGGTGATTATGTATCTATCTATCTATCTATCTATCTATCTATCTATCTATCTATCTATCTATCTATCATCTACCTACCTACCTACCTACCTACTTACCTACCTACCTACCTACCTAATCTATATCCTGAGAAGGCCTCATTATGTAGCCCAGGCTAGTCTTGAAGTTGCGATCCTCTTCCATCTGTCTCCCTCCTCCTCCTTCTCTGAGACAGGGTTTCTCTGTGTATCCCTACCTGTCCTGAAACCCACTTCGTAGACCAAACTGGCCTCGAACTCAGAGATTCTCCTGCCTATGCCTCTGGAGTGCTGGGATTAAAGGTGTGCGCCACCACTGCCTGAATCCTTTCTTAAATCTTTACTTAAACTAAAAACTGCCCCTGACTCTGATGAACCTAAACTCATCACAGACTAAGCTTTGGTCCCAACCTACCCAAGGAAGCTTCTGGCCTAGACTGCACACAGCCCCCAAAGGGGTGTGAGCTGTGAGCAGGGCTCTGTCCTAGAATGTCTTGTGCTGCTGATGCCAGAATGTTCCTGGTATTGTTGTGGCCCTTGTCTCCGTTGCGGGTCCCACTAGCTGGTGGTCAACCCTCAGCAGGCCAAACTGTGGTCCAACAGCCACAGCATCCAGGTTAATGCAAAGAGAGTGGTTTGGTGGCATCTGTCCAGTGAACAAGGAGGGCCCATGGGGCCCTGGGGTTTGGGTGTGTCAGCAGAAAAACCACAGGCTCTGTGGGGCCTCTGGCTGCAGTCACCCTGGGGCCCTCATTAAGACAGATGGGGGGTGGGGTGGGGGGAACTAGTGGGTTATAGTCCATGTTGTTTTGTAAACAAAATTTACTTCTTGTGTTTAGCTGACATAAACTTACAGAAAATACAGAAAAGGGTACAAACGAGGAAAAAAGTTGCCTATAGTTTCAGCCTCCAAGAGATAGCCATTTTTAGTTTTGGATTTCTCCCCTTTTAGATTGTTTTGATCTGGTCAAATCTCTTTGTTTATACCCATTTTATAAACTTGACTGGCTGCGATGTTGGCCCTCATCACATGTGTTACCAGCTACATCTCTCTTAACAGGAACTGGGGATGTGACTGACCTTGTTCCCAGCCTTAGGAATGGGTCAAAATTGGTTATTGCAATGAGACATTCTCATGGCACATGATTGGATCGTGGACAAGCTAATAGGATATAAGACTTTTGCTGGGAAATTGAAAAAAAGGAACTTATTTTCCATCCTGGGAAGTTTGAAAGAAAGGAAGGAGAAAGGAAACCCACCCTCCCTCTCTTAGAAGTGGATGATGTCATCTTCAACCATATCCTTTTTATTTTTTAAGACACTGCATGGCTCTGGTTGGCTTGGAACTCATAGAGATCCACCTGCCTCTGCCCTCTGAGTGCTGGAGTTAAAGGCTTGTTCTTCCACCCTCAGCTTTAAGATCATTTGCTGCATATATCTATTGTGTGTGGGCATGGGCATGCCATACTTGCTTGTGCAGGTCAGAGGACAGCTTTCAGGATTGGTTCTGTCCTACCTTGTGAGCTCCAGAGATTGAACTCAGGTCGTCAGGCTTTACAGCAAACACCTTTACTTTCTGGGCTGCGTAGACAGCCCTTCACTTTATTTTTTGAAATGTGCTGTCTCACTGGGCCTGGAGCTCACATGTGGCTAGACTGGCTGACCAGCCAGCCCACAGTACCTTCCTGTCTCCTGATGCCCATTACAAACATGGCCTGGTACACTGGCTTCTTATATGGATTCTAGGGATCTGAACTCACGTCCTTGTGCTTGTCTAGCAAGTACCTAACTCACTGAGCCACCGCTGCAGCTCTAAGCTTGTTCCAAAATCATAACAATCAAGCCAGTGAGAAGCAGATGGAGGGGCTTCTTACTCTGTAGCCAGATTTGGCTTTGAGTTTGAGGCAATTGTCTTGCCTCCACCTCCTGGGAGATGGGATTACAAGCGTGCACATCAGCACATGGCTAAAATCCTTTGTGTATGTGTGTAGTATTTTTAAAGATTTCTTTTATTTGATATGTTCTGATGTTTTGTCTGTATGTCTGTGCACCACAAGCGTGCAGTGCTCACAGAGGCCAGAAGAGGGCATCGAATACCTGGAACAGGCATTAGATGGAGATGGTTGTGAACTACCATGTGGGTGCTGGGAACTGAACCCTGGTCCTCTGGAAGAACATATTTATACTCTTAACCCTGGGGCCACCTCTCTAGCTCCTCTGTGCATGCGGCATGCGTGCGTGTGTGTGTGTGTGTGTGTGTGTGTGTGTGTGTGTGTGTGTGTGTGTGTATGTGATTTTTGAGTCAGGGTCTAATAGGTTCGGTTGACCTTGAATTCACTATGATATTGAGGATGACTTTTTAAATTTTTTACTTATATTTTATATATGTGGATATTTTGCCTGCAAGCAAATCTGTGCACCTCATTTGCTCCCCCAGTGCCTGCAGAGGGTAAGCTAAGGCATAAGATCCCCTGAAACTAGAGTTACAGACAGTTGTGAGCTGCCATGTGGGTGCTGGGCATCAAACACGGGTCCTCTGGGAGAGCATCCAGTGCTCTTCCCTGCTGAGCCAGCTCTCCAGCCCCTCTGAGGATGACTTTGAACTCTGACCCTTTTGCCCTGTCTCTTTAAGTGCTTTCATTATCATGGTCAGCGTTCACACTGGTGTAGGGATCCAAACCCATGTCTTCATAATTGTGCAGCAATTGAGCCTACATGTTACGCTGTCCCCCCACTCAAAAATCCATTTTTTTTTACATTCACTTGTGTGTGTGTGTGCCCATGTGCATGAGTGCTTGACACCACACACATGTGAAGGTCAGAGGACAATTTGTGGGAATCTCTTTTCTCCTTTTGCCATCTGGGGTCTGGGAATTGAACTCAGGGCATCAGACTTGGCAGCAAGTACCTGTAATCACTGAACCATCTTGCTGGCCCCCCAAATCCCATTTTAATATGCATTTTTAAAGTGGCGGAATAAGCTCGGGAAGGTAAAAATACCTCGGATCACAAAGCAGCCTTGGCTCAGTGTTGACAGGGTTCTCTGGATTCAGTGGGAAAGGGCACAGTGCGTTCTTGCTGTCTGCCAGGGATTGGTTCCAGGGCACCCTTCCATACACAAACTCGAAATATGAGGATGCTCAAACCCATAGATAAAATGACTTAATACTTCCCTAAAATCTGTGTGGCCCTGTCTTGTACTTTACATCATCTCTAGATAATTTATAACACCTAATACAATGCAAATGCTATAAATAGTTGTCACACTCTATTGGTTGGAATAATGACAAGAAAAGAGTCTGTACATGTTCAGTACAGAGGCAGTTTTTACTTCCCGATATTTCCAACTTGAGACTGGTTGAATCCAGGGTGACAAAGAGCTGACTGTACTTTCTGTGTCTGCTGGAGGCGTGAGGAGGAGAAATGGCACCCGTGTCGTCTTTGGTCTGGTGAAATGATCCAAAGAGGTGTTTAGGGTCCAAACCCAGATCAAGTCGTAACTTGGTCTATTTTACATTTCTGAAATAGTTCCTAATCTGCAAAACGGAGTTCCTCACGGGAGGGGGAGTCTTGATGAGGAAAGGGAAGAGCAGATAATGGAAGGCAGCACAGCCAGAGTCTGTCCTGATAATTAATCTCAGTCCTCAGGAGGTTGAGGCAGGAGTATTACTTTCAGCTCAAGGACAGCCGGGGACAGGTATGTGTGTGGGGCTGTACAAAGTGAGTCAGACCTCCCCTATCCCCCACCCCCGCCATCTCTGACCAAATACTCTTCTAATAAGATGTATTATGTATATTAACCCTTTCAACCTTTCTAATTAAAACTCCTTTTTAAGAATTTACATTTATTATTATTATGTGTGTGTTGTGATCCGAGGTATTTTTTTTAACCTTGTTGAGTTTATTCCACCATTTTAAATAAATATATTTATTTTATATATTATATCCGTGTAGGCACGCTCATGCCACGGTCCGCGAGCAGGGAAGCTTACCGAGCACAACTTTGGGAGCCGCTGTTTTCCTTTCCCTTTTTTGCTGTTGGAGGATCAAACTCAGGTATCAGGCTCACATGGTTCACACTTTTACCCGCTGAGCCTTCTCAGGCTAGAGCATAGGTAAAAGTCCTCTCTACAACCTGGGCTTTGGGGAATTGAAGCTTTGATCGGAATATCGTTCAAAGACATCAAAAGAATGTAAAGATTTCCTAGGTTTCTGCTTCCTTAAGTCTGACCCAGATATCCTCGTGTCCGCCTGCGACCCGCCTGCGCCCTCTGGTGGCGCGAAGTGGCGCTGTCCCCTTGCATCCTGCCGGAGCCCACTCTCAGTGGGCAAACACAGTATGGAAATTGTCAGGGCTGGGAACGTGAAGTCGGGAGGACCAGAGAGTAGCTGCGGCAGGGCTGGGGGCTAGTACGAGGCGCCTACATGAGCCTGGGTGGGGCGGTGCTTCTAGCTCTGGGGGCGTGGTTTACCGGTGGGCGGAGCCTTTTACTGGGGCGGGGCCAGCCTGCGGGCCAGACGTGGCGCTGCGGCCGAGTTTGGGTGCAGCCTGCGGAACGTCTCCTGCTAGGCACAGATGAGCATCCTACTGTGGCCGCCGCCGTTGCTGCTGCTCCTCGCGGCCCTTGTGGCTCCAGCCACCGCCGCCACCACCTACCGACCGGACTGGAACCGTCTTCGAGGCCTGGCCAGGGGGCGGGTGGAGGTGAGTGCGCCTTTTCCCATCCTTAGTACGACAGTCCCAGAACCCCGCA